GGAGGCTGAGGCAGGAGAATGGCGTGAACCCGGGAGGCGGAGCTTGCAGTGAGCCAAGATCGCGCCACCGCACCCCAGCCTGGGCGTCTGAGCAACACTCCGTCTCAAAAAAAAAAAAAATTATTATTTTTTTGAGACAGGGTGTCACTCTGTCACCCAGGCTGGAGTGCAGCGGTGCCATCTTGGCTCACTGCAGCCTCAACCTCCCAAGTTCAAGCGATTCTCCCGCCTCAGCCCCCAAGTAGCTGGGATTAAAGGCACCTGCCACCACGCCTGGCTAATTTTTGTATTTTTTTGTAGAGACGGGGTTTCACCATGTTGCCCAGGCTGGTCTCAAACTCCTGAGCTCAAGAGATCTGCCTGCCACTGCACTCAGCCCGCTGTGGGTCCTTGTGCCCTCCTCCGGCAGGAGCTGAGCCCCATCCCGTCTGCTCCAGGGCCCCACCTGCCCTGTCCCGCCCACCCTGCCCCAACCCACTCACCTTGGCCAGGTCGGTAAGCGTGTTAGCCTGGTCGTTCAGCTTCCCTTGCTCGATCTTCACACTCCGGAGCCTGTGAGGACACAGGGTTGGGGAGAGGGGGTTAGGCAGGTTCCCATGGAGGCTGCAGTGGGGGCAGGGACTTTCATGCATCCACCTGGGGTCACCTATGGGACATGCATCAGAGGATAAGGTGGGAGCTGGGCGGTCGATTCCCTATGGTCTATTCCCTCCCAGCATACAGTGGGTGCAGCAGGGCCAGGAGTCAGCCTGGCCACCGCCCACACCACCCATTGGCTGGTCCTGTCTCCAGCCCAACTGGGGACCCCAGGACGTTGGATCCCAGACCAAGGTGAAGCCTGCACCGATCCATGGGGCAGATGTGAATCCTGCCTGCCTCTGAGGCTGGGGTTGGCATGCCCCACGTGTGCCCCTGTCTGTGACCACCATGCACCCCCGATTTTCCAGCCCCACCAAGCCCCTGGGAGAAGACTTACTTCTGAGCCCTGGCAGGACCAGGCAGAGCAGGAGAAAAATCACAAGGCAATTTTAACCTCAGCACAGTTGTGCGGCATGTACCCAACCCTGCCCAACTCCCGGGGGTGCCACCCCAGGGCCCCGCGCAGGGTTCCCAGATGGCCGAGGGGCTGCCCTTGCTCTGGGGAAGTGCCCAGCCTCTGAGGGTTCTGTGCCAGCCCCTCAGGGACACACCTGTCCTCTGTCCTGTCCCGGAGGTGGTGTTTCATTCAGAAAACTATGCCCACGCCATCTGCCGGGGGGAAACTGAGGCTCAGAGGGGTAAAGCCACTGCCCATCTGCACCCCGGCAGGATTTGAACCCACACTTGCTACTTGGTGTTGGTGTTGGCACTGGTGACCCTGGTCTCTGGACAGCTGGCCACAGGGGGAGTTGGTTAGTGTATGCCCTTGCTCCTTTTGGTCACCCCTTTGTTTTTTTTGAGACACAGTCTCACTCTGTTGCCCAGGCGGGAGTGCAGTGGTGCGATCTCAGCGCGATCCCAGCACGATCTCAGCTCACTGCAACCTCCGCTTCCCCGGTTCAAG